GACGTAAACTGACTGCCGTTGTCGGATACAATTGTCTCTGGCGTGCCAAACCGACTGAACAATCGCCGGAGTTCCAGGACTGTAATGGCAGTTGTGGGGCTGTTCACCGGAAAGATTTCCGGTCACTTACTGTAAGCGTCGACCACGACCAAAAAGTGTTGGCCACCCACTGGACCTGTATAATCGATGTGAAGACGAGACCAGGGTTTGGTCGGTTGCGGCCACGAGCGTAGGTAGGTTTTCACCGGTGACTTGGATGCTTCAGCGCACCGCAGACAAGATCTTGAGAGTTGCTCGATCTGGGAGTCCATCAAAGGCCAGTAGACATAACTCCGAGCAAGGGCCTTCATCCTGTTTGTTCCCGGGTGACCTTTATAGAACTGATTCAGGACGGTTGGTTGTAACTTCATTGGGATGACCACACGTTCTGAAAACAACAGGCATCCATCAGCTAGCGATGGTGCGTCACGCCGGTTGACGTAATGCCTCAGTTCGTCTTTCTGGCAGGTACGCGGCCACTGATTGAGATGGTGCTTTATGGCTTGCTGCAGCAGAGAGTCTTGGTCGGTAGCCTGGCGGACCATGTCGGCAGTCACTGGGAGGGTGCGAACCGCTTCGGATACTAAACGGTTAACCTCTGGTTCCAAGGCAATTGTTGCGACCACGGTAGCTTCTTGTTCTGGCCTGCTTGAATCAATGAGTCGGGACAGTGCGTCGGCTTGTCCCAGGCTGGTGGTGGACTGGTATTTTATCTTGAAGTCGTACTCCAGAAGCAGAGTGGCCCATCGCTGGGGCCGGTTGGTAGTATATCCCGGAATTCCTTTCTCGAGCCGAAAACAGCAAGAAGTTGCTTGTGATCGGTCAGTAGGGTGAACTGACGGCCGTAGAGCATTTTATGAAACTTCTTAACAGCAAACACGATCGCCAAGGCTTCCTTTTCTATCTGACTGTAGTTGCGCTCGGCTGAAGTCAGGGATCTGGCCGCATGTGCAATGGCTTTCTGGCTGCTATCTGGAAATACGTGTGAAATCACTGCGCAAATTCCATAGTTCGAGGCGTCCGACGCCACAACAATTTTCATCGATGGATCGTAGTGTGTGAGTAGCAAATCGGAACTTAGCATGGATTTGACAGAGTCAAAGGCGCGTTGACATTCTTCTGACCATGTCCACTTGTGGTCCTTGGTAAGTAGCTGATTTAGTGGGCCTCGAAGGCGATGCATGGCAGGCAGGAACGAACTGTAGTGACTGACGAGACCGAGGAAAGACCTGAGGGACGCCACGTCTGTGGGTGCTGGCATACGTCTGATCGCTTCAATGTTCTCCGGGTCTGGACGGCGGCCATGTTCGTCAATAATGAACCCCAGGTACTTTATCGACCGCATGAAAAATGTGCATTTCTCTCGGCGCACTTTGAAGCCATATTCTTGAATACGACTAAGCACGTAATCAAGGCGCTGCCACAGTTCGTGGGGATTGGAACCCATGACAATGAGGTCGTCCAAATAGGCGGCAACGCCTAGGGCATCCTTCAGCATCGTATCCATAATCTGTTGAAATATGGCCGGCGCTACTTTGACACCAAATGGCAGTCGAGTGTACTGGAACAGACCTCGATGGGTATTGATCGTGAGCAGTTCTCGGGATTCTTCCTCTAATTCAACCTGGAGGTACGCATAGGCCAAGTCAATCTTCGCGAGACATTTCCTCCATTCAGTTTCGCAAACAAGTCGTCTGGGAGAAGCAGAGGGTACTGATGGGCATCCAGTGCCATGTTGAGACCGGTGGAGAAATCTGCACACAACCGGATAGTCCCGTTAACCTTCTTTATCAACACAATAGGT